AGCTTGCAGCTCTATGTTCCCCCACCTCACTCACTCCTGCAGCTTCTAACCAGCATCATTTCAAGGAGTATCTATACAGCAGTCAAACTCATTGGGTCTGGGGCTACTGCAGTTAGGGTGGCTGGCTCTGGGCCAGGGTTGGAATTGTTTGGGGAGTCTCATTGCTGGTTAAGCCAGGAACTACGTCTTGACTGACCTGTATGTTAGTTTTCCTGTATTTTTCTAGGAAGTCTGGGGAAAGTTGGTTGGCTTAGGATTTGATGGGAGAAAAGACAAATAATATTAATTAAAAAATTGAGGTGTGTATGTGAAAGAGGGACAGAGATAGAGGCAGAGAGACAGAGAGATGTATTCCAAAAGGCTCATTGTTGAAGCTTGGACTCAGGCCCATGGATCTATACATTGAGAGGCGATCGGATCCTGAGAACTGTGATCTAGCCAGTGGATTAATGTTTGTGTGGGCTCAAAATGGTGTTATTGTGAGGTGGGGCTGGTTGTAGGAATTGGGGTCACAGTGGATATGCCCTGGAAAGATAAGACCTTGTCTCCCATCCCCTTGCCACTGCTCATTCTTTTTGCTTCCTGGCCTTCAACAGCCCTACTTACTGCATGCTCTTCTACCATGGTGTTCTTCCTCACCATAGGCCCAAAGCAGAGGACTCATCCAGGTGTGGCTTAAACCTCGAAAACAGCAAAAATGAATCTTATCCTTAGACTGTATCTTCAGTATTTGTCATAGCTAAGACAAACTCACTGACACATTCATAGCTTATCTCTGGATAATATTCCATAGTAGGAATGTATCAGTTTATCTAGTCATTTATTAGAAGACATTCATTTGGGCAGTAATGAAATAGCTGCTATAAATATTCATGGGCAAATCTTCTTGTGGACACAGTTTCCAGCTCAGAAGTCTCTAGGAATGTGTGTTGACTTGTATTGCTTGCTTGTGTTTAGCTTTGTGAGAGGCTACCACACTGTCCTCTAAAGTGTCACTGCATAGTTCCTCTTCATGTGTTTGTGAAATTTTCTCTTTCCTCCACAACCTTAACTTCTGGATGTGGAAGAATCAGTCTGTCAGGGTTGATATAAAACATCATTTATTCTGCTATTATTTAGGGTAGAAAGTCTCACTGCCCACTGTTAATTTTTCAAGTTTTCTTCAAAATCTTAAATTATTTGTTTTCGTTAAAACAATACTTATTTTAAAAGTGTGAAATCAAGAGATTTGATTAACTTTTAAAAATAGTAATATTGCTTATTTACAGGTGAGAAGATTGAGTCACATAAGGTTAAATAAGGAGTTTGGGTCACACAGCTAATATGTGGTAGACATAAGATTTGAGACAGCATTTCTGTGAGATTCAGTCTTATTTGATTTGGTTTTTTGAGCCAAGGTCTCTGGTGGCTTGAATAAGAAGGGCTGCTCATAAACTCATGTATTAGAATGCTTAGTCATCAGAAGGTGGCACTACTTGAGAAGGATTAGGAGGTGTGGCCGTGTTGGAGTAGGTGTGACCTTGTTGTAGGAAGTGTGTCACTGGGAGTGGGCTTTGAGGTCTCAAAAGCCCAAGTCAGGCCCAGTGTCTTTCTCTTCCTGCTGCCTGTGGATCTAGATGTAGAACTCTCCATCACCATATCTACTTGTGTGCCACCATGCTTCCCACCACAATGATAATCAACTAAAACCTTTGAAATGCCAGTAAGCCTTGTCATGGTATCTCTTTGTAGCAATAGAACAGTGACTAAGACAATCTCATGTATGTAACTTAGAACGACCTTGAATTCAATATCCTCTTGTGTCTGCCTCTCAAGTGACTGTGTGTGCACTATCACATCTGGCGCTCAGTTTCCTGACTATTCCCTGCTTTATATTGCTGTAACAAAATAGACAATGTAAAGGAAGAACACTTTGTTCTGGCTTTCGGTTTCAATCCATGTTATAGACCTGTGGTGAGGCAAAAACATAGTGGCAGAAGGATGTGGTGGAGGAAAGTTGTTCACCTCAAGGCTGCCAGGAAGCTTCTCAGTAAGGCAATCAGATTATGAAGTGTGGGTGGATTAACCCACGGATGAAGTCAGAGCCTCTGGGATCTCGTCCCCTTTCAAAAGCTCCAGCTCTGAATAGTGCTGCATTGGGAATTAAGTTCACAACACAGAAGCCCAGGAGAGAAACCACAACACTGCTTCCAAGGATGCTCTGGTGTCCATGTGTTTGGATTTCTCCAGTACTTCTTAGCACCGATTCTCAATTTTCTGTGCTTGATAAACCATTCCACATTTCTTTAAAATTCCAAATCCTTGGAATCATGCCTGGAGGAGGTTCTGATTTGAAAGGTCTAGGAACTGTATTTCAGACACGCACTTCAGTGTGCTTGTGAATGCATATGTGCATGAGGGGGCGTGGCAACCTTAGGTCTGTATCAAGTGTCTTTACCTTACTTTGGGGGTAGGGCTTCTCTCTGCACCTGGAGCTTTCCTACTTGGCTAGGCTAGATAGCTGGCAGTTACTGAGGGATCTTCCTATCTCTGCCTCCCCAGCCATGGGATTACAATTGTGCACAGCTGTACCTGACTTTTTATGCAGGTGTTGGGAACCCAGGCTCCAGGCATCATACTTGTGCAGTAAGCAAGCACTTATTTACTGAGTGTCTTCCAGCCCCAGATAATGTGCTTCTGAGTGGTTCTGGAGGGGTTACAGACCACATGCTAAAAACCTGCCGCCAAAAACCAATCAGAATCCGAGACTGTAAGGACATCTTGTTGCAGATTTCAGAGAGCTGGCTGAGTTCTTATTTCTTGTGTTTAGTTTTGCTGGCTGGAGCCAGGGAGTAAACTGCCCTCTACCACTGCCTTCAGTAACACACTACTACAGTGCCTCTTCTGTTCCTTGGTGGTGGTTGACTGCATCACCAAACAGGAAGAGCACAATTGAGGGTTGGCATGCCAGTTGTCAAGAGGATGTTTATATGGCGTTCAGAAGGCTCATTTGAGGACATTGCAAAGCCAAGTTTTTTTAAAAATATGCAATACTGTGCCTAAAGACAAAGACAGTCATATATATATATATATATTTGCTGTGATTCTCAATTTTTACTGTTTTTTATCTATCTATACAATGTGCTAATTTTTTAAAAATTAAAAAAAAATTCAAGACAGGCTGTCTTTGTGTAGTCCTAGCTGTTTTGGAACTCGCTTTGTAGACCCGACTGGTCTCAAATTCGAAGAGATCCACCTACCTCTGTCTTCCAAGTGCTGGGATTAAAGCTGTGTACCACAAATGACCAGCGCAAATATGCTAAATTTTAAACCATTTTTTGTGCTGTGAGATAAAAGTAATAATTTTTGGATGGAAAAAAATAGGCTATTCCATACAAAGTCCTTGATAGCTGCAAGTCACTGATTAACTATCTTACTATCACTGATTAACTTCTTACTATCTGGTTGTCAGATGCTATTTTAGTGCCTTTATTTTTCAGGAAACTTTTTTTTTTCTGTCAAGGGTTGAAAGGAATCTAGTTGACTTTAGGTGTAGACTTTAAAAATTTTTTTTGTTTTTTGAGACAGAGTTTCTCTGTAGTTTTGGAGCTATCCTGGAGCTTGCTCAGTAGACCAGGCTTGAACTCACAGAGATCTGCCTGTCTCTGCCACCTGAATGTTGGGATTAAAGGCATGCACCACCATCACCACCTGGCTAGACTTTAAAATTTTAAAGAGGGGTGTGTGTTCACATGTGTGCGCATGCGTATTCCAGAAGTAGATTCTTCACCTTACTGCACTGAGACAGAACTTCTCTTTGAACCAGAAACTTACTGGTCAGGCTAGGCTGACTGGTCAGTGGGCTCTGGGATCACCTGTCTCTACTCTGATGGCCAGGGTTTCAGGCTTGCATAGCCATGCCTGGATTCTAGGTGTTAAGGATTTGAACTCAAGTCTTTATGCTTGCAGAGCAAGCACTCTGACACATTAAATCATCCCCTAGTTCCTATATGGAGACTCCTAAGGGTAGTAAGGTGTGTGCTATAGTTTGGGTTGCAAAGTCTTGCCAAAGTCACCTATGGCAAAAGGCTTAGTTCCCAGTGTGGCACTTTTGAGAGATGGTGGACCTTGAAGAGGATGAGGCCTAGAAGGAGACTACAGTTCATCAGAGGTGTACTCCTGAAGGGGATTTTTAGATTCTTGTTTTATCCTTTCTGTTGTCCATTCTTGGCCATGAAGTAGTTTCTTCCTGACTGTTTGCCCATTGCCCCAACCCCAGAAGCAACAGAGCCAAACAACTATGGACTAAAACCCTCCAAAACTCCAAGAAGAATAACCCTTTTTTCTTGTAGGTGATTATCTTGGGTGTTTGTCATGGTTTCAAGAATCTGACTAACACGGTACCCAATTGCTAAGTGTACCCTGGAGCTCATGCTGTCTTATGTCTGTATGTGCTGGATACATACACTGTCTGATGACTACCCACATCAAAATAGAGTACTTGGTACCACCACACAAGCTCTGCTATGCCCTTTCTCAGGCAGCACTTTCCACCTCCAGATTAACCACTGCTCAGATTTCTGTCACCATGAACTCCTTTAGTCTGTTCTTGGCCTATTCTCAGTGTTCCCTATAAAAATGTGGTCTTGGGGGCTGGAGAGATGGCTCAGTGGTTAAGAGCACTTGCTTCTCTTAGAGAGGATCTGAGTTTAGTTTCCAGCACCCACATGGTGGCTTGTAACTTCGTGTAGCTCCAGTTCCAAGGAATCTGATGGCTTCTTCTTACCTCTCTAGGCTCTTGCACATATATGGTGCGTACACACACAGGCACACATATCTCCCCCATGTGTCATCCCTTCTTCCTACTTTCTGTGCTTTTATTTTAAATGTTACATACTGTATTGTAAATGTGCCCCTTCTGCATAAACTTAGCTTTGTTTTTGTTCAGTTTTTAAACTTTAGGGCCGTAAACGTATCTTTTCCTCTCTTATATTTATTGTATGAGTACCAGTTACACATTACTGTGTATTACATTCTCCTGAGCAGTTGTTATAAACCACAGTAGCATGTTGTCTCCTGATTTGCTGCATTCACTTATCTTGCTGTGTTCAGCTGGCTAGTCATGTGGGGGTTGAGCTCATCCCACACAATGACATTGTGCTGTTTGGGGACTTAGTGGAGGTGACTGTAACAGCTGGGGTATTTGCAGCTCTGTCTCTCTGGTTTCTTCCTTCATGGCTGTGGGCTTTGTCTTCTCCAGAGTGCGGTGAGGTGTGAGGCTTTGTGCAGGCCTTCACTTTGCAGATTGTCACATCTGTCCTCTTCCCTATGGCCAAGGGAAGTTTCTAAGATACTCTGGAGTCACTGGTGAGAAACAGATTCCCTTTCATGACCAAGAAACTGTAAGTCACTGTGGGCTTGTTTTCCTCTCTCCAACAGTACACTCCTTTTTTCCTGCTTTGATATTTTATATTTTGTGTCTCTAATGGTTCTGTCTCTTTTCTTGTCTTGGGTTGTTTATTTTGTGGTGCTGGGGAAGGAACCAAGGGCCACCACCTTGGCCCTCTTTGTCTTTTTTTATGTTGACATCTTCCCCTCATTCTGATCTTTATCCACCTTCCCACTGTTGGGATTTGAAATTCAATTCCTTTCCTGCTTAGCCTGGACATTTTAGTGTAAAATCTAGTCAAGTCTACAGTTTATCGTTTGCATTCCTGTTTACTGGCTGCTGTTGCAGGTTCCTAGTTCTTTATCTGTGAGATCCTGTGTTCCTGGCTTTCCTTCCGAGTGGATGGAGGAAGTCTGTGATTATTCTCTGTGGTATCTCTCACACCTGCTTCAGGTCTTTTCTCTCAATAGTCAGTCTTTCAGGGCTTCCTTTAACAGTGGTGCACAGGTGGCCAATTATTCAATTTTTGTTAGTCTTTAATTGTTGTTTTACTTAATTCAAAGAAGACTAAGAAAATGTCCTGGAACACTAAAGAGGGACAGTAGAGGCTGAGGGGACCCAAGAGGGTCACCAGTGTCAGGAGTTGACACTGTTCCTGCATCCATTAGGGATTCACATGTGACCTTGAAGCTGTCAGTTCCTACCTGGCCCTGTGCCTCAGCACAGTACCCTGGCTAGTTGGAGCACTCCCCATGGTACCTTCCTGCTGTAGTCATCATGTGACTAGCCAAGTGAACGACTTGGATGTGAGTGTTTGGATTGGCTTTATCACCTGCTGGAGGTCAAGTGGCCCTTGGTGATGAGATCTGAAGCTCAGTGCTTGCTCCTGTTGCCCCCAGCTGCCCTTTTGTTCTTCTTTCAAATCTCTCTGGTGGTTGTTCTGAACCCAAGCTTAGTGATGTCTAAATCACCAGCATTTGGAATGCAGGAAAGGTATTGTTTCTGTGTGCAGAGTTCCTATTTAAATTCAGCAGAGACTAGTGCCCCGGCTCATGCCTTGCCAGCATCCTGTAGGACTGGCATGTCCCTAAACTGACCAAGGAAATAGAAAAAAAATGCTATCAAATGGCAACACAAATTGATGCATTAGTGTTGATTACTCTAAATGCGAGTAAATTTAAAAGTCGCAGACAATGTTTTCAGTCTGTAGCTGAGAGCCAAAAACGTATGGTTAAGTAATCAAGTTAAGTGATCAAATTTCTGTCTGTTGAACAATTTGTTATCATATTTGACTTTTAGTCCCTAAAACATAATGTTCCTGGTCACAGTTCATAACTCTGGGATATTATCTTTTCTCAGGAGAGTTGTGTGGGAATGAGAAGGTGAGTTATAAGGGTAGCAACAACCCAGAACCCAGAAAAATCACAGCTTCTTGGTACCTATAATTTGTCACACAATGAGACTATTAATATAATTTCACAGTTAGAAAGTTATTTCTTGCCCAGCGGTGGTGGCGCACGCCTTTAATCCCAGCACTCAGGAGGCAGAGGCAGGCAGATCTCTGTGAGTTCGAGGCCAGGCTGGACTGACAGCCTCCAAAACAATACAGAGAAACCCTGTCTCGTAAAAACAAACAAAACAAAACAAAACAAAACAAAAAAAAGAACTTTCTCATCAATAAGATATTCTTTATTTTTTAATATCAGTATACATTTTAAATACCAATACTTTTTCTAAACTATGTACAAAACTCCCCTATTTTTCATTGATCTGAGATGTAAATATTTCTACATTTCCATGTCTGTGAGGGACAGGATATGATTGATGGATTCTTAAATTTATTAAATGTGGTAAATAAAGCAATAATTCCACTTTCTCAATACAATATTGTTATTGCAAAATTTGTTAGTTGGAGCTAGGAGGTGGTAGTGCACACCTTTAATCCCAGCACTCGGTAGGCAGAATCAGGCGGATCTCTCAGTTCAAAGCCAGCCTGGTGTACAGAGTGAGTTCCAGGACAGCCAGGACTATATACATGTCTTGAAAAACAAAACAAAACAAAACAAAAACTGTTAGTTGCTTCAGGGTTTGTGTATGTGGGCAGGGGGCTGTATTTCTGTGTGGAGGACAAAAGAGAATGTTCAGTGTCTTGTTCTGTCACACCCTGTCTTACTCACTTGAGCCATGAAGGTGGCTAGTAGGTTCCAGTAACAGTACTGCCTCTGTCTTGCACGGTGCTGGGGTTATAGCTGTGCACAGCCATAGCAGCTTCTTATGTGGGGGCTAGGGATTTGCACTCAGGTCCAAATACTTGTGTAGCAAGTGCTCTTAGCCACTCAGCCATCTTCCCAACCTCTGTACTGTGTTCTGTTTTTGAAGACAGTGGTGTTTATCTGTTTAGTATATGGGCTTTGTGCCTTCTGCATGTCTGTCTACTGTGTACATGCTTAGTGCTTGCAAAGACCAGAAGAGGGTGTCAGATCCCCTGGAATTACAGGTGGATGTGAGCTGCCAAATGGACTCTGGGAATTGAACCCAGGTCCTCTGCTAGTGATCTTAAGCTCTGAGCCATCTGTCCAGCCCAATAATATGTACTTTCAACTTATCACAGTCTCCCACCAAACATACACTGTTTCTCATACAGGAAAATCATATTTTTTTTTCTCTTGTTTTTGAGGCAAGGTCTCACTCTGTAGCTCTAGCTGGTCTTGAACTTAGGCTGGTCCTCTTGACTCAGCTTTCTGAATGCCGAGTTTACAGGTGGACACCATCGCTGTGTCTAACTAGGTAAGAATTTTATAACCATGTGCTTTCATTTCTTCTTCCCAGTTCTGTGTCTTTTACTTTTATGTAACTGCTAAACCAGCAATCCTTTTGCTTTTGTTTTCAACAATAGCAGTAAATCTTTTCAAGAGATTTGTATCAGGGCTGGAAAACCGTTGCTCACACAGCTGTCCTTTGAGCACTTGACATTGTTTTGTATAGATTTTCACTTGCTACCCCCTCGCCCACCCACCTGCAGATCTGCTAAAGATGAATTATTTTAAAAAGTCTTTTTGTCTGAAAAGTGTTCTGTTTCACCTTCTTTTCTGAAAGATACTTTACAAGATTTGAAATTTTGTCTACTTTCCCCCTCATTTTGGACAAAAATTTAAGTCCAATTTTAGTTACCCATTATGGCTGGCAGCAGACTTCATGAACCATATGATGCTTTGATTTTTACAAATCTTCGTTTGAGGGAGGTAGGTACCTGAGAAAGGCAAGGACTGGTCCAGGACATGAATTTGTCCTGAGTTTTCTCTGAAGCTGTGCCAGCAGCAGAAGCACAGGATTTCCTTCCTTCCTTCCTTCCTTCCTTCCTTCCTTCCTTCCTTCCTTCCTTCCTTCCTTCCTTCCTTCCTTCCTTCCTGTTTTCCTTTGTGAAAACATTTAGGTTTGCTGTCTAGAAGTTGGACCAAACTCTTGCAACTATACCTGCTGCCATCGCTATCATAGACTGCTGTCAGTGCTGTCACTTCTTAGAAGTCACCAACTTGCTGGGCGGTGGTGGTGCATGCCTTTAATCCCAGCACTCGGGAGGCAGAGGCAGGCGGATCTCTGTGAGTTGGAGGCCGGGCTAGACCAACAGCCTCCAAAACAATACAGAGAAACCCTGTCTAGTAAAACCAAAAAAAAAAAAAAGTCACCAACTCTGTACAACACCTCATTCTGCAAATGAAGAACTCAGCCCTGTCTCCATGTGGTCAGAGCCAACATACTTAAAGAATTTTACTGCCAGACCAGTCATTGTAGTCATTAATTGCCTTTATTATTATTATTATTATTATTTTACAAGCACAAATAGTTTAATGATTCACGCTAAGAGAGAAGTTTAAATCCATTTAAGAAAAATGGAAATTATAAGAATTTCTACAGGAAATACAACCTCAAGTGTTAAAAGCTTAACCAACTGCATAAAATCAGCATTTACAACACTCAGAAATAGTAATATTAGTAGAGAAAAGGGAAAAATGAGAGAGGGGGTTGAGGCAAGACAGTGAAACATGGACAGGAGTCTTCAAAGTTTTTTTTTTTTGAGACAGGGTTTCTCTGTATTGTTTTGGAGGCTGTCCTGGAATTCACTCTGTAGGCCAAGCTGGCCTCCAACTCACAGAGATCTGCCTGCCTTTGCCTCCCAAGTGCTGGGATTAAAGGTGTGCACTACCAATGCCCAACGTCAAAGGCATTTTTAGGAATAGGAACTCAGAGCAAGGAATAGAGACAAACCTGACCAGGAATGAGACCATGGATATAGCAGATTCAGAGCTGGAATAAAATGAAAAAACAAAAAAACTACAACCCAAATCCCCATATCTTAAAAATAGCTTAACCCAAATGTTACTACCACACACCCCATTCAAAATGAAATGTGAGAAACACAGGTCAGAGTTGTACACTCTCAGAACTGTTCACCCTGGAAAGCCAGTGTCAGGAAAACACTATTTTGTTTACCTAACATACCTGTTGACATGAAAAAGTTGTGTGTTACAGCATTTATGTGTGGTGTACTTTGACATGATCAGCAGATCTCAAACTTTCTTGTGAGTGGATCTTGGGGTGAATGGCTCCACAGCCTCATGGTGTTGCGAGATAGGACAGTGGTACCCAGGGGTTGTCAGGCTTCCCCATCCTGCTCCTGACAACAAAACCAGTGGTTTTCGCAGTGCCTCGTTCTGCAAGGATGGCCATTGCGTATAAACACAGTGATTCTGGGGGAAGATTCATCAAAGAGTCCTCTTGTTTTAAATCACATTGAGATTAAGCTATCAGTACAGACATGCTCGGTAGTGTTCTCCTATTCCTCTGCCTTGACTGCCCTGGTAGCATGAGGAAGTGCTTCACACCTATACCTCCATATTTAATGCTCTGGCCTTGGTGTAGGATATGGTGAAATGTTATAAATTGAGCAATCTCCAATGTTTGCCTACCCACCCTAAAAACTGAGTGAGTTCAAGGGCTACCTGGCTGACTTAG